TTTGCTGTATTATCGTAACACATTGGTCAATTATAAATGTACTCCACAGTGACATTAATGAAACTGAAATAACTCTGTGATACGAACCTAAAGGCAAGGTATTACTCATCTCTCTATGTTATGTGCTAGTTTGGGGAGAGTAAAGGGAAATTTGGGTGTTTTAACTACCCCTACCTCTTCCATAACCTCACTCCCACCTCCTCCATCTCCACCCCACCCTCTCTACCTCTTTCATCACATCCACTCCACCTTACCCCTATTCAGAACCAATTTAGACTTTTATGTGTCCCTAGGACTTTCACTTACAAATCCTTTCCATTTTTACCCCTCTCCCATATTCTTTCATACAAGAAGAGTTAGACCTTCCATTACTCAGGTTGCAAGATGCATCCTCGAGCAGTTTCGGGAACTCCGAGGCTACCCTAATATCTAGAGTGATGATCCTGTGTTCCTATGAGCTAAATACGCTTACAATTAATACAACAGCTGGGTTATTTAGACAAGTTTCAACTATATAACAGTAGTTTCTTGTTCAAACACAGAGATTCTACATTCTGCTTTTTAAGTTTATTTTCCTCTTTTTTCTAAAATCTAATGGATTTTAATGTTCTACTGATTTTTATTTCTAGGGAAGGGAGAACATTTATTGAGTACCTTTAGTTGCCAAACATTGTGCTAGATACTTGAAATATGAACTTCATCTTATCTTCACAATGATATTAGGAGACCCAGAGTTCCATTTTACAGATAGAAAACTGAGGTCAACAGATATTATAGATATTAAGTGGTCCTGATGGTGTGGCTCTGTTGGTTGGGCATCGTCCTGTGCACAGAAGGGTTGCAGGGAATCCAGTCAGGGCACATGCCCAGATTAGGAGCTCAATCTCTGGTAGGAGGCATGCAGGAGGCACCGATCCATGTTTAACTCTCACATCAATGTTGCTCTCCCTCTCTCCCCTCCTCCCTCTCTAAAAAAAACCCAAAAAAATAGATATTAAGTGATTTATCCAAAATTATGCAGTGAATTTGTTGGTCCTTTTAATAAAAGCTCATGCTTTTTTAGTTTTATCACACTATATCCTCAAGTAAAACCCAGTTCATTCTAAGAAAAAGGAGCAAGCACCCCAGGGCCACCTAGAATGCCACCATCATTGACCCCAGGATTGGCTTATTTTTCTAAAAAAAAGGATTGAATTGGCTCACTATCAAGTATTACCTTCCCAATCATCATAGCACTGCTTTACACCATCACATAACCACCAGTGTAATAACTCTTTTTTAAAATTTTGTCCTAAATTTTTGAGGGTACCTAAAAACACACCTCACAGTCTAATTGGTGTTACTTGCCCAATTTCTTTCTAGAAATTAGGTGTATGGTACAGTGGAGCAAAAATGGAAGACTCCCGATTTCATGAAGACGTACAGTTTTACATTTTGATAAAATGCAATTGAACTGGCCAAAATGCTTAAGGCAAACAACTAAATAACAATAAAGGATAAAAGTATCCTGTAACCAAGTAAACACCTGTTAGTCCTTCTCCTTTAAGGCTTTTAAATAAGGTCACATTTATTCATTCAACAAACATTTATTGAGCACCAACAAGGCCCTAGGTGCTAAGGAACATAACAGAGAACAAGATAAAGCAGGCTCTAACCCTGATTGGACACTGCTGCTTTGTACAATCTTGCTAACTAGTTGTTCTCTGAAAGCATTATATTTTTTGTGAAAGAGTCATATGAGACCTCTTCTGGAATACTGTTAAAGTTTCTTTAGAACAAAGTTGATAGAAACCTTT